GTGGAACTATTTGTTGTATTGTTGCACTGAATTAAAAGCTGGCTTCCTTTCTTCTATTTTCATGTTAATTGCCTCATTTGTATCTTTTGGATGTGAAATAAAAGAAACATTAAAAGGCATGCAAGTCCTATATGCACAAGATCTAATGGCCCCAGTCATATGTTGGGTGAACTCATTTTAATTGATTAATTGAACACTTTTAAATATTATTGTGTACTTGCTGCCTTAAATTAAGCTGCTCTATCATAAACACACTCAAATATAGCAAGGCAAACAAAGCAAAATGAATACTTTGTAAAACAAAGAGCTTTGTTTCAAAGATTCAGATCATTGTGGAGCAGTGAGTTTCAGAAAAAATCCAGAAATTGGAACTAAGATATTTCCTCATTGATGAGTAGCTGTTTCACTATTACTTGCAATGATGGGGGCCCCGAATGGCCGAGTGGTCTAAAGTGCTGTCCATTATGGATCACTGCCATCTCATCTCTGTCTGCATGGGTTCGAGTCTAGGATTCGGCAAATGTGGATATGTGAGAAAGCTTGCCAGTAGCGTCTCAAGGTCGGTGGTTCTTTCCGCGGATTTCCCGGTTTCTTCCTCCACCATCAATACTGGCTGCCATGAATAGCCTATCGTGTGCTGAAAAATGGCGTTAAGCACCACAACAACAACAACAACAACAACAACATTACTTGCAATGAAATCACAATATTGTATTAACTGAAATTGCAATGATTTAGTTTGATGTAGTTGATTGTTATATGATAAAAATGTACTGATTTTTTAAAATAAATAATCTTGTTTCATGGTGCATTAACAGTCAATATGCTTCCCTGCTTTGCATACTTCCTATTTTGAACTCTCTTCTACCATAGTAAGGAGGGAACCAGACTAATTGACAACACAAAATTCAATGATGTAATACACAAATAATTTCTCACACCCATGAAGGTTTTTGAAACCAGTTGGAATAATGATAATGACCTTTTGTGACATCTTCTAAAAAAATGTAATATACAACTTCATTTGAAAAAAAACTGTATTGACAGTTATTCTTGAAGTGATTATAAAAAGAGTATTCAGCCATTAAACAGCCAAGTTTCTGAACACCCCCCATGCAGTTTTGTTAGTGGAGATTGCAAAACTTTTTATTTTTCACAGGTTCCTCAATAACTCATGACCTTGCTTATAATGTGGCATATATATATATATATATATATATATATATATATATATATATATATATATATATATATATAAAGAATTATAAATATATACCAGACAGAACAGACATTGCTATCCCTGGAATCTGTAGTAGAATCTTGATAATAGTGGGCAGAAATAATAGTTTAATACAAGCAATACTATCATACAGGTTAGAGAAATTAAATTTGTACTCTACCGAGTTTCGAACCCAGGTCCGTGAGTAATCGGCACCCATCGCCTTGCCTGCACACACCAGCCCACGACTAAGCACACATCACCAAAAAGTGATGGCACTGAGTCAGTGTTATACAAGCTTGTTCGCAGCAGACACACTCACATGACAACCTAGTAAATAGTTTTCATAAATATGAACAGATGTTCCAGATTCCTTTGAAAGAAATCAAGGTATATAGGATTTTTTTTATAACTATATATATATATATATATATATATATATATATATATATATATATATATATATATATATATATATATATATATATATATATATATATATATATCCCACAGCCATGCAAACATTCTCTCTTGTGTTTTTTGTGTATTTGACATCCTCTCACGATGGTGTAGACATTCTCTCATGTGTCTTTTGTGTATATGACACTCTCTTACAACCATGCAGACATTCTCTCATGTGTTTATTGTGTATTCTATCAGAACCATGTAAACATTCCCTCTAATCACTTTTTATTGTGTATTTTGTCACTCTCTCACAGCAATGCAGACATTCTCCTTTGTGTTTATTGTGCATTTGTCACTCTCACAGCAATGTAGACATTGTTTCATGTGTTTTTTGTGTATATGAAACTCTCTCAAAGAAATGTAGACATTGTTTTATGTGTTTTTTTGTGTATATGACACTCTCTCAAAGCAATGTACACATTGTTTCATGTGTTTATTGTGTATTTGACTGTAACAGGATTGAAACCAAGTGGGTTTCTTTTCCTGAATTAAATGAACAACACAAACACAATGTGATGGATGATGGGAATTTATAAAATCAGTTACTAAGAATATGTATATAAAACAAATGCACTGAATCTCTCCCACTCGTATCATGCAATTGATCCAATCACTCTACACACATTCACAAAATGAAAAAGAAAAAAAAGAAAAAAATGATTCTTCTACCTCTAGCATGAAAAAAAAACCTCATGGACTATAAATATATTTCCACTAATATCAATGTAAATGAGATTCACATAATCTTACATACAAAATATATTAAGTTTCAAATAAACAATGAATGCTATGAGATCAAGATTCACATTATCTCAAGTAATGCAATCAATTCATTACTCAGTTGAAACCACAATCAACTGAAATAAACATATCACTGTAAAACCTGAACAGTCCAACAATTCACAAACTGTTACACCACATAGTTTCACTGGATACTTGGATTGGCCCACATTTATCAACCACTCACACCCTTCACAGATCCACCGCAAGTACTTATACATACAGACAGCACCCAGTACCCTTGTAATTGTTACATCTACATTTTGTGGTTCTGCTATATGTATAATCTAATGTATACATATAAGTACAGACAGCACACTGCACTCTGTATAGCTACACTCAACCCTAGAGAAGGATACAAATATGTACAGTCAACAGGCCATTCTATGAACAGTTATCCTCAACCCTAAACAGCTATCATGTCACTCTATTTAAAGCTACACCCACCCCTAAACAGCTACCATCAACCCTAAACAGTCAGCTACAATAAAACCAAACTGGTTATAATAATGGGTTCTGAATTAAATTGCTAGATACATACTCATAAACTGAATAGCAAGTTTGTAATGTAAAAGGCTTCATTACCCAATATGACATAAAAACAAGAATAGGTCTCGGAATCAAATAAAATATAAATTTGACACTTACCCTATGGCCGGAGAACATAATGGAGAACATTCACTCCGTAACAAAATACAAGTGATCCATGTCTCAATTTGAAATGAATCAAGCTTAAATCCATAAGAGAGTGAACAGTTGTCATAGTCAAATATTCATGTATGCTATGCTTTTCGTGACTCTCGTCGCATGTAGTTTCAGAATTGCTCATTTGGAGAAACAATTATTCACCCTGGGTAACATTGTATGCCTGCACAACGAATAAAGGTGATAAATAGATCTAAGGCTAAACCAATTTATTTTTTGCCTTATTCTGTGACATTGACACTCATGTGTTTATTATGTATTTTAACTCACTCGTGTGTTTTTTTTTGTGTATTTCACACTATCATATGTGATTTTTTTTGTATTTTAATCTCTCTCTCTTTCTCTCTCTCTCATGTGTTTATTATGTATTTAAACTTGCTCATGTTGTTTATTGAATATTTGACACTCATGTTTATTGTGCTTTTGATACTCTTGTTTGTTTTTATTTAGTTGACACTCTCTCATGTCTTTATTGTGTATTAGACATTCTCTCATGTTTTTGTGTATTTGACACTCTCTCATCTGTTATTATGTAACTGACAAGGTTTAATGTGTTTATTTTTGTATTTGACACTCTCATGTATTTTTTGTGTATTGACACTATCTCTTTTGTTATATATGTTTTGGGAATTTTCTACTGTTTGGTAGACATAGCGCAGGTGGGGCATATTACCTGGTAGCCTATACTGGAATAGTGATTGTAAATATTCAGGAGCACTATTATTGGATAGCTTGTACATAATTTGGCTATTCTCAAATGGATTCAGTCTTTAATAGGTAATATTTTTAACTTACCAGCTAAATTTTCCTGTCTTTCTTTCTGGATTGATATTAGCCCAAATGGTCTTTTTTGAAATGTGCCAGCTTTCCTAAGTTTTTGTCATTTGAATTACCCCATACTGTATTACAGTAGTCTAAATAGGATTGTATGTAACTGTTATAAAATAGTTTTCTGTGCCTTTCAGGGAGAATGTGTCTTATCCTACTGAGAAGCCATAAACTTGAATTGACTTTTTTACTGATATGTTTATAATGTTGAGTTCATAACTGGTTATTGTCTACCAAAACATCAAGTAGTCTATCATGACAGACCAAAGGATTTCATGAGCCACCATGTCAAAAGCTTTCCTGAAATCTACAAATTACAGGTCCTGTTACTGTACCTTGGTTAAGTGCTTGAAGTCATTTATCAGTTAGGGAGATCAAGTCAGTCTCACATAAATATTTCTGTCTAAAGCCTGATTGACTAGGGTGTAACAGCAAGTGATTGGTTAAATATGACATGAATGAGTCATTTGACATGTTTTTCAATCAATTTTGATAAGTTTGGTAGTATTGAGATTGGCCGGTAGTTATCAGCATCATCCTTAGGACCAGATTTGTGAATAGGAGTTACTTTTGCAGTTTTCCATATTTTGGGAACAGATGAGGATGCAATACTTAAATTGATTATGAATGTGATGCTACCTACAATAGCTGAGGCAGAAGTTTTAATGAGTCGTGGACCAATCTGACCAAGTCCAGTAGCTTTCTTATTATCAAGTTCACTGAGACATTTTTGAATTTTTTGATACTGATTGATAGAGAACATACCTCCTCAGAGATTTTGCTGCCATAGAACTTTTTCAATTCATTAAAGTTGTTTTCAATTACTCGTTCTTTTAACTTTGTAGTAATGTTGGTGAACAAAAATAATTGAAAACATTTGCAATGTCATTGTCATCAGCGATCTGATTTTTGTGTGTTCCTTTGTTGTTTTCAAGCAAAGATTGATAATATTTTTATAGCTTTTTTAATCATACTGGTTATTTTATTTCTCCACACTTTAACCTCTTTGGTGGCTTAGTGGTTAGAGCATCTGTCTCAGATGCTGGAGGTTGTGGGTTCGAACAGCTGCCTCGCTTGGTGCTCAGCATTAAGAGGTTAGTGTTAGGACTGGTTGGCCTGGTGTCAGGATAATGTGATTGGGTGGGACATCATGCCACATGTCTGTGGCATGATGCCCTAATGCTAGATATCACTATAAACTGTTACACTGCAGACATTGTAGCAGTATGTTTGAAAAATTGTTAAAGCTACATTAAAAATCTAACACACACACTCACACACACACACACACACACACACACACACACACACACACACACACACACACACACACACACACACATTCTCAATACTTTATATTGTGTATGGTTTCCCATAGCCTTGAATTGATCTCATATTTTCATAGCTTATAGAATTTCAGTAGTAAGTTAATTAGGTTGGATTTCATTCTTTACTTGATGTACTATTAGTGGTGCATGCTTATAGACTACATCCATAAATAAGTCTCAGTATAAACCCTCAGAGCTTCATCTATGTCATCCAAATTTTGGATTATATTCCATGGAACTTTATACAGGTCATTGGGAAATTGTTCTTCATTAAAATTTTTGATTGATCTATAAGTGATAGTTTTGTGTATATTTTTCTTATTTCTCTTGCATTTTACCTTTCCTATCAAAAAAGTAGGCTAGTGGTCACTAAGCCATATTGCATGATAGGTTGATATAAATGTGATCAATAAAAGTGCTTGATTTTTCTGTTACCCTTGTGGATTTTTTAACAGCTGGAATAGGCCTAATGATTCAATAAATTCCATCGAGTTGTTCGTTATTTAAGTATTGAGAAGGTCCTTATTTATATCACCGAGTATATGTTTATTTTTCCTGTGTAAGAACATTTTCCATTTATTTCAAAAAGTTATCATTCTAAATTGCTTTGGAGGAAGGTGGCCTATAAATGAAACCCACTAAGAATGATTTCGCATCATTTTGAGAAATTTCCAACCAGATTTCTCAATTTCTTGTGACTCCAAGTCAAGTTGCTTTTCTGCACTTACATTTTCCCTAATGTATAAAACAAGACTTCCCCCTGCTGTCTCTCTGTCCCTGTGTACTGGGTTATCGTAGCCTTGACAATGAAATAGATCATCATTGTGGTTAGCATTTAGTTTGGTTTCAGTGAGTCCTAAAACAGCTATATTATTTTCCTTGATAGACAACATTAACTTAATCTGGTCTATTTTTCCCACTTTACCTTGTACATTTAAGTGACCTATGTTAAAACCTTTTGCATTTAGTTTCATATCAATTATATATATGTCATGTAATGGGTTACCCACTGAGATTGTCTCCATACTACTTTTGTCATTCTTACATCCTATTTCCATACTTAAATGTTCATATATATTAGCATCTTCAGAGTCATATACAGACACTGAAAATTTGTTAACATTTGCATTTACAATAGTGTCCATTCTCATCTTTGCCAGCTTCCTAATATGTATAATATACTGATTGACAAAGTCTTTGTGTCCAAATTTATGGCATGTGAAGCACTCAATCTGTTTGCCATATTTCATGTGTTTATTGTGTATATGACACTCTCCCTTGTGTTTATTGTGTGTTTGAGACTCTCCCTTGTGTTTATTGTGGATTTGGAACTCTCATTTGCTTATTATGTATTGGAAACTCTCCATGTGTTTTTTGTGTATTTGACACTCTCATATGTGTATTGTGTACTTGACACTCTCACATATGTTTATTGTGTAGCTGATACTCTTTTGAATGTTAATGTATATTTGACACTCATGTTCTTATTGTGTATTTGACACTCTCACAGCAATGTTGATATTGTTTCATGTGTTTATTGTACATTTGACACTCTTGTGTTTATTGTACATTTGACACTCTCTTGTGTTTATTGTGCATTTGACGATGTCATGTGTTTATTGTGTATTTCACACTCTCTCATGTGTTTATTATTTATCTGACACTCTCTCATGTGTTTATTGTGTATTTCATACTCTCTCATGTGTTTATTATTTATCTGACACTCTCTCATGTGTTTATTGTGTATTTTACACTCTCTCATGTGTTTATTATTTATCTGACACTCTCTAATGTGTTTATTATTTATCTGACACTCTCTCATGTGTTTATTGTGTGTTAGACCCTATCTCATTCATTTTTGTTGTATTTGACATTCTCTCACAATTTTATTGTGCATTTCACACTCTCATGTGATTGCTGTGTATTTGATACTCTCATGTATTTATTGTATATTTGACATGCTCTGATTTTTTTATTATTTGACATTCTGTCTTGTATTTATTGTGTATGTGACACTTGTGTGTTTGTTGTTTATTTCACACTGATGTTTTTATTGTTCATTTGACACTCTCACAACCATAAAGACATTCTCCCTTGTTTTTTAGTGTATTGACACTCACAACCATGAGGACATTCTCTGGTGTGTTTCTTGTGTATTTGACACTGTCTCATGTGTTTATTTTCTATTTTACACACTCCCATGTGTTTATTGTCTATATAACACTCTCTCACAATGATGCAGATATTTTCGCATGTATATTATGTATTTGACATTCTCTTACAACAATATTGAAATTCTGCCTTGTGTTTATTGTGTATTTCACAATCTATCTTGTGTATATTATGTATTAGGCACTCTGTGATGGGTTTATTGTGTGCTTGACACCCTCTCAAAGCAACGTAGACATTGCTTTATGTGTTTATCGAGTATTTAACACTGTCAAGTGTTTATTGTGTATGTGACACTCTAGCATGTGTTTATTGTGTATTTGAAACTCTCTCACAGCAATGTAGATGTTGTTACATGTGTTGTTTTTTTCTGTACATGACACTTTCTCACAGCAATGTAGACATTGTTGCATGTATTTTTTGTTTTTTGACAGTCTCTCATTGGCATGTAGATATTGTATCAAGGTTTTTTGACATAGTTACATGTGTTTATGTTATTTGACACTTTTTCATGTAGTTATTGCAAATTTGACACTCTCTCATTTGTTTATTGTGTATTTGGCACTATCATGTGTTTATTCAGTATTTGACATTCTCTCACATCAAGGTACACATTGTTTCAAGTGTTTATTGTGTATTTGACAATTTCATATATGTTTATTGGGTATTTAACTCTCATGTATTTACTGTCTTTTTTACACTCTCATATATTTATTGTGTATTTGATACTCTCTTGTATTTATGTGTTTGACTCTCTTTTACATGTTTATTGTGTATTTGACACTCATGTGTATTGTGTATTTGATACTTATATGTTTATTGTGTATTTGACACTCTTATTTGTTTATTGTGTATATGACATTCTTTCATGTGTTTATTGTGCATTTGCCAATGTCTTGTGTTTGATACTCATGTGTGTATTGTGTATTTGACACAGTCATGTGTTTTTTGTGTATTTGACACTCACAAGAATGGAGACATTGTTTCATGTGTTTATTGTGTATTTGACATACTCTGATGTGTTTACGTATTTGAGGACGCTCTGTCACAGCAATGTAAACATTGTTTGATGTGTTTATTGTGTAGATGACACTCTTTCAGCACAATGTAAACATTGCCTCATGTGGCTGTTTTGTATTTTATACTCTTGAACAACAATGTAGACATTGTTGCATGTGTTTGTTATATTTTTTACACTCTCTCGTGTGTTTGTTGAGTTTTGGACACTGTCTCATGTGTTTATTGTGTATTTGACACTCATGTATTTATTGTGTATTTGACATTCTCTGATGTGTTTATTATGTATTTGACACTCTGTCACAGCAATGTAAACACTGCTTGATATGTGTTTATTATGTAAATGACACTCTCTCACCACAATGTAGACATTGTCTCAAGTGGCTGTTTTGTATTTTATACTTTCTCACAGCAATGTAGACATTGTTTCATGTGTTTCAGTTGTATTTGACACTTTCATGTGTTTATTGTGAATATGACAATCATGTTTATTGTGTATGACAATCTTTCGTGTTTATTTGTATTTGACGTTCTCTCTTATGATTATTGTATGTTTGATACTCTGTCATTTGTTTTTTGTGTATCTGACACTCTCTCATCATGTGTTTAATCTGTATTTGATATTTTCTCACAGCAAGTTACACATTGTTTTATGTGTTTATTGTGTATTTGATAATTTCTCATGTGTTTATTGTGTGTTAATACTCCTGTGTTTATTGTGCATTTAACACTCTCTCATGTGTTTATTGTGTATTTGATAATCTCTTGTAAATATCTTTCTTGATTTCTCAAACAATTACATTAGACTGATTTATAAACATTCTATCTACAGAGTAATGGGAGCATACCATGTTCCAGTCAACAGAATATGCCAATAGGATTGGCTAAAATGTTCTCAAACATTGTTTCAGAGCTTATAGTATATGAAAAAGTGCAACAATATTTTTGTCCAGTTCTTATAGTGCATGAATTATGTTATTTTCTGAAACAATGAAAAATGTCCTAATTTTTATATGTGGACTTAAACATAACATACATTATGGGGGATGCCCAAGAATATAGTATTGACTTGACTCTTAACTGACCTGGCCTATGACACAAAGCATTGACTTGACTTTGAAACTTACAATGACCAGCATATTGACTCTTCTTGGAAACTAGATCAATTACATAAGCTTTAACTCTTCACAGAAACTAAATAAGTCTTTTGTTTTATTTTCATCAGGCACACCTCAGTCATCTCAGGGAAGGTTACAAGAACCGTCAGATGGTGGAGTGGATGATGCAGACACAGAGAATTACCAAATTAATAGACCTGAGCTGTAAGATATATTATTAAATTAGGTCTGCTCTCAGAAATACATCACCTGTTTGCCCTGATACAACTGAAATTTTTTTAATTACATCAGACAATTTCTTGAGAATTAACAAATTTAAAATCTGAATCCATTTATTGGATTTATGCAACATTTCCATATCAATCATAAGGGTCAGAAAAACAAGAATATGCTGTGCATTAGTTACTTCCAGAAATGTGGAGCAGTGTTTTAAAACAACTTTTGCAAGTA